AAAGATAATCGAATAGAGTGGAAGATATTTGACTGATTAAAGCTCATTTTTTGTTTAGGGAAAACTAAGTTTTATTTCGCACTGAAAAACCGAATTTTTTTCCTGCCAACCCGATTATTATGAAGATTTACGTATGTTTTGAGGTATATTTAATAAGCGAAATTTAAAATTTATTTGAAATAAAATTCTTCATTTTATTAAAAAAAAATTCTGGCCCATTAATTTGCTGATTTTGAGTTCGTCACGCATATCTAACTTTCAGACCTCTACTTTATAGGTCTAATAACTGCTGAAATAAATCATAGCTGATATATGTGAAGATGTTTATTTTGTAGTCGAAGAAACTTTTTTTTTTTTTTTTTTTTTTTTTAATATATCCACTGCATGCTTTATCAGAAAGACGTTAACAAGTTGAATTTTCTCTCCCTCCCTTAGGATCAAGTCTCTTCTCCATTTCTGCTTCTAGTCACGTTTTTCCCTCTTTCGTGTTGAGAAAGGATTGACGTTTCAAGAATGCTTCTTTAGCAATGATTGTTCGAATCGTTTCGCATATTTATTCATTTCAAAAATATGTAGAACAGTGTATGAGTAAGTTTCATTTTCGATTCGAATCTCAGTTTTCGTTTGAAGTAATTCAAACTGTTTTATTACTTTGGCACATTTTGAAACAATTTGACATAAATTTTATAATCAAAGAGTGATGTTCGAAGAAGATTGGTATATGCTCGTTTTACACTGTTATTGCTAAGGAATATGCTGTTAAGTATAAATTCTAGAATTGGTTATGTTTCGAAAACAATATCTAAAAAGAAAAATAAATTAAAAACGTGAACAGAAATGAATTTGTTTAAAACGTACTCCATATAGGTATCCAGTCCTATAAGGAGACAGCCCTAATGTGTTTTGCCATAGTAAAATTGCCAATCTAGTCTCCAAAACAAAGAGTAAGAGCACAACCATATAATATGCTGAGGACAAAATTTTCAAGATCTTTAAATCTTTGAGATTTTTAAAACAAAAAGTAAAAACTCATCTTCATTCGTTGATTCCATCTTTTATTATCTTGATGGGAATTCTGAACAAATTTGGGAATTACAGTATTTTCCCCACTGTTTAATTTAGGTGTGATATGCAGAGAATTTCAAAATGGAGGCAATGAATTAGGCTTAACCATAGCTTAATTTGCATTATTATGTATGAGTAAATATATGGAAGATATTTATCAATAAGATATTTAAAATGGCGCAGCCATTTTTCATCTGTATATGCTGCTTCTCGGAATGAAGACCAAAGTTCTTTGACCAAACGATCCGGCTGGGTTACCACATTCTGAATTTTAACTCGCATTGCAATCGATGCCTTCATGTTGCATAAAATCGAGATGAAGAGTTTAAATTACATCAATAAATACAACGTATTAAATATGGCATATGCAAAAATATTAAATACAACATATATAAAAATTTCTTTCTTCGTCTGTGAATGTATAGAATAAAAGCAAAGTTTAGCAAATATTTAATAAATAGATGATAAAATGTAATAAATAAACGAGTTGGATTGCTGAATGATTGCTAAAAAAGGAGAATAATTATTAATCTTCAAAACTGTAATTATTTAGAATGTTGAAATATTCTGTAAATTTGGCAAGGCTAGCATCCGACTTTGACATCTCTGATTTTATCTGAAGTTTGTATTAAACGTAATATATGTGTAAATGAACGATAACATGAGAAATTTTCGAATAGAAAATACTATTCTAATCTCGAACTCACTGCATGATACGTTGCTATAAATTAATATTGTTAACCATTGGGTGACGTTTTCGGTGACCTGATTCTTCGTAATTCCTTTTTGATTTGTGTAAGGAATATATTAATTAAGGTGCTAAGCCTAGTAATTCTGAAGGCGTAAGCCTAATAATTCTTTATATAAAGGCTGTATTCATTATATAAATAAAGTACTATACGCGTTTTTGAATATCAGTTCTGTATAATATTAAAGTATTGTTTTAATCTGATGTTTTTCGAATCGTCTTAAACTTATAAGATTTCATTAGAAGACTACAGATTGCTTACCAGGAATTGCGAGTTCAATGTTTGGTGGTACTATTTACCATTTCATGTTATATTAAATTGTGATATATGTTATCTAATATGTTTTATTTACGTTGAATATATTAAATTTTCTTTTGATTTTATCAGTGTCACTAACATCTACAAAACCGGTTTTTTCCGGAAGAAAAGCAGACACCGTTTTATCGATTTTAATAGCCGAGTTGATATGCATCTTACGTAATGAAACTTTTTATCTTGCTAAAAGCTTTAAATTTTGTTAAAAAGAAAAAAGAATTTAGATCTTTTGCATTATCTATTAATCTCTTAAAGGAGGGAGACTCGAGAAAATAAATTAACTTTTCATCTCTATAAAAACATTGCACAGCTTATCTCCGTAAATTAGAGCAAAAAATAAGCGGAAGTTCTAATCTAAGCTACAGAAACTGGGTTTTTGTTCTTCAAACGTTAACTCGAAACTCGCGCGGTTTCCCAGGTGAAAGAACGCCCTTCCTCGCCCTCCCCCTTTTCTTATCGCGCGCGAAAAAAATAACTTTTAGGTTATCGTCTGTTGTTGCCAACCCTTTTTCCTCTTAAATGTCGGCCATTACAAACCACTTAGACATCATCCAGATTAGAAAGGAAATTGAACGGAAATTTCGTTCGGTTTTTGGCAACTTTTTTTCCCCTTCCCTCTTTCTACATATGGCGATTGGCGGAAGTTGCCATCAAAGAATGGAAAGTTGCGAATTTTTAGGGGCCTAGGAGTTTTTTTTTTTTTTTTTTTTTTTTTCGTTATTATTTTTTTCACACATCTGGGGACTTTGTACATATTAAGTTACGTAATAGTTTTTACTCATGTATTAAATTATATAGTATTGCATATTAATAAAAACAAAGTGTCATTAGTTTAATAATCATGTTTTTATGCGAATTGTCTAAAGTTGGTAAATTATTAAAAACATATTTTGTAAAAACTGCTATTTTTCTTGTTTCTTGTTGTAATATTTGCAGTATTTCGACAAGTATCTAAGATATAGTATTTTGGATAATTTCTGAAAACACCTGTTGATTTGCTATTCGCTATCTTTGATAAGTTAATGAATTTTGAGTTACAAACTGAGCGATTTAAAAGCAATGTGTTGCCACTCGGCAAAGTAAGGTATTTGTCTTTCAAATTTAATCATCAAACTCATGATTTAAAACTAATGTGCTTCCGCTGCCCGAATTAATTTTTTTTTTTTTTTTTTTTTAAATCTTCCACGCGCTAGTGTATTGCCATTTGGCAAAGCTTTAGGTATTTAATTTTTCTTTGAAATTTAATCTGCCTATTATATGGATGAGCAAAGTAAACGATATAAAAGCAATAAACGGAATTCTCCACCTTTGTTATTATTAATTACAACTTGTACCCGTGAAATGGCATTAGGTGGGATTCATTAAAAAGATTAGATATTTTTTGTAATAATTATTTTAGGCGGTTGGTTGCGCAAGCGACCCACTTCTGAAGTAGGTTGGTAAAATAAATAAATAAAAATATCAGTCATTAGTCACTGGTCCTTTACAATGCACTTCTTCGCAAATTTTTACACCGGCAATTTTCGTCATACGTATATCGTTCCAATGTCATTTATAGGTTTTTATTGAGCTGATGAATTTGAGCTGGGTGTGGGTGGGTGTGTTGAGTTATGGCAAAGCACACGAGGGCTATCTGCCTAAGGGGAGGGATGCCTTCGTGGAGGACTTTCTAAGGGAAACTGGCTCGTATACACGTTACACATGGGGAAAACCACGAAAACGCCCATGCAGCCAGCGCGTTCGCGGGATTCGAACCTCGGAGAATTTGAGCTGGAATAAAGTGGGTGTTGCCATTCGACAATAACGAAATTTTTTTCTCTGTAATCGTAAGAACACTATTGTTTTAAATCATCACAAACTCGAGCGCATACCTTCAAATAGCAATATCTGAAATTTCATTTTGATTGGTTGAGCGCATAGGCTGCTAGGGGTTCATATATTGAGGCAGTTTTTTATGACCACATTTGTAGATACATACATACATTTCTGAATCTGATCCCGATAATAGAAAAGTACCAAGTACTTTGAGAATACTTTGTCTTGAAAACTGAAACACTGAAAGCAAAAAGTGAAAACCTTTGAAGATTTGAAGAATCTGCATGAAAAAGACTAAGGAAACTAAAGGATCACGATATCGTCAGTAATACTGGTAGAACAGTTTTTAATAGAATAGATTCATTATTTTATAGATTTTTAAAAATGTGACTGTTATCGTAGAAGAGAATGTTAAGCACTATATAGGAAAATTGATTTTTGCAACTATATGCCAAACGGATTTACTAGAAGGTATTAAAACAAAAGATAAGTCTTCTTTTCTGGCAGAAATAATTGTTCTTTATGCACTTTAAGAAATCTCCTTTTGTCTTCGCCTTTCCTTGTTCTGCCCACAATTAATTCCAAAATTTACGAATTTTACCTTTCAGTGTCTTCCTACCAACTGTAATGAAAAGTTAATTTTTTTTTTTTTTTTTTTTCCACATTTAGAAAGCCTGAATCGGGAAAGCTCTAAATGCGATATCACTGTCTCTAATATTTACTTGCGCACATGGCGCATTCCATTTTGCATAAGAAATGTGCTTTTTCATTGAGCCATTTGGCCAAACAACCCCGCGCCAGAAATTTTCCATCCAGATCAATGGAGCATGTCTGGATGTTTATGGATCGTTGAAGGTGCTGATGACAGTAGGGCTGAAACGCATGGCTGGCCAATCTTTTACCTGAAGAACAACACTTGACGTTAATTATCTTGGTGCACAGGCTTTGTGACCGGGCACTTACAATGTGGGAGAAATAATTCTTATTGTCTTGTATGTAGCCTTTGATGCTGAGGTCTTTTCTAGGTTTCTAATGTTGTGTTTTTTTTTCTTTCAGAAGTATGAATTTCATACTGAACCTGCTGTCGTGTTATGCGACTGATGTTATAACAGCTTGAAAAATTGGTAAGTTTTCTGTATGTTAACATTATTATTATTAACCGGCGCAGCCCCCAGTCCACCTAGCTGTTGTAAGCCGGCTATATGACTAAAAGGAGGGCCGGTGGATCAAAACAAAAACGAGGGAGGCAGCAGCCCGGCTACATCCCCCCAAAAAAATGAAATTAACAAAATTAATAATATAAGTTAATCTATGATAAATATAAAAAAATAAAGGATTCCTGCAAAATCACGGTCGCTAAGGCATTTAGATATCTCGTGGCAATGCAGCCAGGTTCAATCGGTTACTGCAGAACATAATCTATGAATTGATGCTTGTATTTTCTTGTTACAAATATGATTATCAGCAGTGACATTAAGTCTGGTTACTTTAAAATCATCACTCGGCAGTGCTTGCCTCCTTGTGCAGATCGGCCTGTATTTGTCGACACAAGAATTTTTCACAAGAGATCCTGGCATAAAAGCTCCAGACGGCATAATTCGCAAGTGCACGTCAGTATCGCAACCGAGGGAGGGTTTTCTAGAACGAACCATTGGGCTCTGGGTAGTATTTTCTCTTGTATTATACGTGAGCTTTGCCGCGCTTAAGTAAGATGGTTGAAAATTTTTTGTCAACCAGTTGCAAGGTAATTAAATCATTGTGGATTCCTTGTGAAATTTTCAAGTGCAAAATTAGACAAATCATTGTGAAATCGGTTTAAAAAATTTGAAAGGAACATAAATACATGCTGAATATTGCAAAGTAAAATGTAAATAACAACTTTCAAAGATACAAGAGCAGTAGAAGCTCATTGGTCTATATCCGAAACTCCGCCTTCGGTTGCGATACCAAGTGTGCGCTCGAGATCTATGCGTTCAGGTATACAGCCAATTAAACGGCAGTGACGTAGGCTAGTGGAGGGGACTGTTCGCCTCGGGCGGCACATTTTTCGGGGGCGACATTTTTCCCATGAGGCACTCATTTTATATGGGTTGCTGGATGATCGAGGAAGGTGAAGAATAACGAGATTACGAATTGCTATACGGAATTAAACTAGCCCCCCCCCCCGCAAAAAAAAAAAAAAAAAAAAAAAAGATTTAAATAAAGATAAAATTTAGATATTATCTTTATTTAAAAAAGATAAAATTTAGATAGAGGTAATTTTTTTTTTTTTTTTTTACTCTATCTAAAATATTTAAGGAAATCACCATTAGATTTCAGCAGCTGCATGGTATTTTATTCTGGTAAAACGTTTGAAAGAAAATTACAAATATAAACGAAATTAGAATCACGGTAACTTTAATAATGAAGAACTAACTCCTTTTTAAAGTTGTTGTATTTCAATGTATTATTTACATTATTGCTGAAGAAAACAAAAGCGGGTCGTGGAAGGGTGGTCTTTTGTATTTTACAGTTTTTTTTTTTTTTTTTTTTTTTTTTTTTTTTTTTTTTTGTGTGTGTGTGTGTGTAACACAGTAGTTACAATATTAATGCTAAAATACAAAGAGCAAAATTTCAGACATTGTAACAGTGCTGCGAACTTTCCTCACAACTGCTTAACTGTTATTAGTTGTGAGAAGGATTTTCTAAATAAAAATCTTGAAGAAGTATTTAACAACTGCAAATGTTTATTTTGAACTTAAGAAATCTTTCTATACAGTTTACATAACAGAAATTGGAGCATGCCACCAATGGTTTTTGCTAATAAACTAAAGCAAGCAAAACAATAATATAATTTTAAAATGTTGGAATTAGAGTTTTTCTTCAAAAATAAACTTCAAGTTTTAATTTATTTCCCTGTATGTCATTTTGACATTTTTAAGTTATTTTTTTGTGTATTAAGAGGGGCTGCAAAGTCAGGGACCTCTCCAGGTGGCAAACTCAGGAACGGCACTAGGCGGCAAAAGCTCTGGCTACGCCGCTGTTAAACGGTTTGATGAATAATTACAGAGGAATAGACTCTGTATGGATTGTCATTGGCTTGGGTATTTGGACATCTGTTACAGAAACACCTGTGACACGTAGTAACAGAAAGATGATCGAGTACATCCCTAACCAATGAAATATGAGAATTTAGTAACTTTTTCTCTACCAAAACCTCTAAAAAAGATCGACATATTTTAAATTTTAAATGCCTTCATTCCACTTTATTTCGCCAATGAGAAGGCTTCCTATCGTATCACTGTTAAATCACAAGGAATAATTACCGGCTCGTCGAAATTTTTTGGCAGTTACTGATTTCTTGACTCCAATACTTTACACATTTAGAACACTAGATTGACCCGTTAGCATTAGCATGTAGACATGTGTAATACTTATTAACAGAAAGCACTAACAATAAGTTAAAATAAATAACTAAAATCTGAAAGAATTCAGATTTTATAGTCAATACCAGAAAGTTTTCAATTCAACTGGTTGGTACTCTATCATTTATACACTGACTACCAATAAGTATTTGGACACCTGTGATAGAAAAGAAAAACTAACTTTATTCAAAATCAATAGTTGGTAGAGCCTCCACGAGAGGTAATTACAGCGTGGACCCTCCGGGGCATACTTTCCACAAGTCTTTGTATGACAGCTAGTGGTATTTTCTGCCACTCGGCTTGGAGAAGACATAGAAGTTCCTTCACCGATTTTGCACGGGTAGTGCACCCCTGAATTCGGCGATGCAACTCGTCCCAGAGGTTCTCGATAGGGTTCAGGTCTGGACTCTGGACAGACCAGTCCATTCGATGAACTCCATTGGCACCATACCAAGTCTTGGTTAACGTCGAAACATGACAACTGGCATTGTCGTCCTAAAAGTAACAGGGGTCCAACCCGTAAAACTGCCACAACGTAGGAAGCACATTGTCATCCAAAATAGTGCAGTAGGCATCGGAGTTGAGCTTACCATGAATGAGGACGAAGGGTCCCAGCCCATACCAGGAGAAACACCCCCAGACCATAATTCCACTTCCGCCGAACTTGACTGTTGGCACAATGCATTCTGGCAGGAGACGTTCTCCAGGTAGACGCCAGACCCAGACCCAGACCCAGACCCTGCCATCCGAACGGTAAAGGGTGAACCTTGATTCGTCACTCCAAAGAACCCGTTTCCACTGATCTACGGTCCAATTTCGATGCGCTTTGCATTACATTAACCAAGCAGCGCGGTTGGACTTTGTGATCAAAGGCTTATGGGCAGCAGCACGACCATGAAAACCAAGCAGATGTGCTTCCTTACGGATGGTATTCATTGAAACAATATTCCCGGATGCCTGTTGAAACTCCTCGCGGACGAGGGCCATTGGTTGAGTGTGGTTCTTCCGAATTTCTCTGGACAGCACTCGTCGGTCTCTATCTCCCACTTTCGTTGGTCTGCCGACTCGGGGCACATTCCGACAATCACCGCTCACCTTCCACTTCTTAATCACATAGGCCACTGTCGATTTTGGGTACTTCAGATAGATAGATATGTCCCTTAAGGATCGGCCACATTTGTGATATCCGATAATTATACCTTTCTCGAAATCAGAGAGCTCCGAACTGCGAGGCATCTTGCATGCGACTAAACCCGATGCTGTTTCCTACACGATATATACCGGCGGAGTCCGTGACGTACCTTAGGACTGCAGATATCGTCATTTGCATAGGTGTCCAAATACTTATTGGTAGTCAGTGTATTGTAACGTCGCCGATCTTCCGGGATGAAAATAACTCAGGCAGGTTATTTTTTAGATTTATTTGGAAACTTAACAGTTCTTGGTAAATTTTTCTGTTTTAATAGTATAAAAAAGGAGCATTATTAGAGAAAGAGAAAGACAACAACTTTTCCGACGTCCGAACGCGTCTTACTCTCTTGGCATTTCGCAGACAAAAGCGTCGTTTTCTTACTCTTACAAAATGAGAAACGGATATACCGCCAAAGGGGTGTCATTAACGAGTCTTTCTTGACACTTTCACCGACCCCATATCAGGGCTTAAGTGGGTAATATGGTTCGTTTCCAAGTGAATAGGAAGTTCTCCAAAGACACACACGTTATCACAATATATATATGTAAAAGATGGGTGATTTATTATAGAATATATAAATGAAAAATTTTCTCCTAGGAAATATGAAGTAAGAAAACTTAGTTAGTTGGGGGAAATCAAAAATTGGGATTTGCAATTAATTAAACTGGAAATTGTTGAGACTATTTCAAAGCAGAAGAGATGAAAAATGAGCAATGCCTTCTCCGGGACTCGAATCTGTTGCATACGAGCCGAGCGTGCAGACCACTATACTACAAAGGCATGCTAAGAAGGCGGGAGAAATACCTTTTAAAGGACGACTGGGGATTAGGGGACCCAATCGCCAAATCCTCGTGGTGCAGAATCATCATCCACCACCTTTAGTTCGGGCGCCATTATAGAGACGTTAGGTTATTTCGAAATAGGAGACATGAAAAATGAGTAACGCCTTCGCCGGGACTCAAACCACGGACCTCTCGAATACGCGCCGAGCGTGCTGACTATTGCACTACGAAGGCATGCTAAGAAGGCGGGAGAAATATTTTATAAACTGATTATTGAAATGCTTATTTAATAAAAAGTAAACTTAAGCAATTAAAACAAGGGAATCATTTTTAATCTTTGCAGCGATAGCGCAGGATTTTACATTTTAGGTTCTTTTAAAATAAATTTTGAAATCCTTTAAAGTTTTTCTCCTTGTATTTCTTCACAAATAATACAAGATATATATATATATATATATATTAATTCAACTAGAAATAAATGAATAATCTACCTCTTTGGGGGTAAGGTTAGGAAGGCCAGGTTACAAATAAGCAATTAATATAAGAAATTAGAAATCGGTGTTAAATAATTTTTGGGGAACTGTGGCTAATTCTAAACATAAATATTGAATTAATAAGTGATGTAATGAAAATCAGTTGCTCTGAGATCAGAGTTCTTTCAGGGCAGTGGAAGAATCCAAAAACGTTTCGCTAATTTGTGTTTTTTTTTTTTTTTTTTTTTTTTCAAAAAAAATTTTGCATGAATT